TCCTGGGCTCCAGCACACTTTGCAGGTTGGGACGGGCCCCTTAGGCAGACATTGTAGGGAACTGGGCCTGGTGGAGAGCCCTCTCAAGCCCATGGAAGCATCCTTGGAGGCCCTGCCAGCGGTGAGGCATCAGCAGCCTAACCATTCCTCCTTCCCCATGGGGTGCAGGGAAGTGCCACAATGATATCTCCACATGAGCCACCAGCAGGGCTACCAGGCCACCCTGGGCAGGATGCAGAAGTGACCCCTTGTGAACCCCCATAGGAGCCAGGTAGACCCATGGCTCCTGTCCTCCACCCTTGGCCTTGACTCCAAGACTCGACCCTGCAGCTCCAGTGACCCTGGAGAGGGTCCGAGAGCCTGTGCTTCCAGGAGGATGGGCCTGTGATGCCAAGGCCTTTTTGCTGTGGTGGCTGCAGTTGGGAATCCTGTAATGCTGCAATCAGGACTGACAAGCCCCGCCTATGCTGCAATCAGGACTGACAAGCCCCACCCATGCTGCAATCAGGACTGACAAGCCCCGCCCATGCTGCAATCAGGACTGACAAGCCCCGCCTATGCTGCAATCAGGATTGACAAGCCCTGCCCATCACGGGCAGTGCTGGTGCTACAGGGTCCCCATCCTGAGGGATTAAGCCAACAACGGGCCACTGAGCAGTCCACAGGATGGAGAGGGCACAGGATAACAGGGAACTGCAGACGGTGGTGACAGGGGGGTTCTGCCACCCCTGCTGGTGCCTGACACTGCAGACCTTGTCTGTCTTCCTGAGGGACCCTTGTCTTGGTGCCACTTGAGGATGTAAACAGCCGCGGGCCGCTGGCAGCGGTTTCCTGCCATGTGTCGAGGGGTGAGGCCTGCCCGAGGGGACCTGCCAAGATGGGGTGATGCCAGCCAGCTCTGGAGGACTCCCACCTACTCGAGAGGCCAGAGCTATGGAGGAGGGGCAGAGGGGGAGTGCAGAGCTTCCAGACGAGGGGCGATCGGGAGACCTGCAGGCTCCTTCCTGGGGGGTTCCGTGCCCACAGGCCCTCTCCTGCACTCTGGACTTGCTGGGTAGCAGGCAGGCACCTGCCAGAGAGCTGGGGTGGGCAGGGGCCCTTCTCTGCCCCAGGGAGAGGTGAGCCTGCGTGTCCAGGGAATGTGGGGGCCCCTTGCACAGCCCTGGGTTCGAGGCAAGCCTGGTGCCTCTCTTGTCTGCTCTCATCCTCAGCCTCAGCCCCGTGGCCTGTGCTGATGGCTGGGAAGCGGTGTCCCTCTTCTCAGGAAGTGCCGGGTCCTGCGGGCCACATCGCAGCTCCACAGGGAGGCTCAGCTCCACAGTGGGAACCAAGGAAACTGGGTTGGGGGCGCAGGGGCAGGACCAGCCCCAAGGCCCACAGCAGTGAGGGGACAGCCTGGGCTCAGTCTGCGGTCTCTTCCTATCTGAGGGGAGGACGCGGACTTGACGGTAGCAGAACGTGTTGGGGCTCCAAGGGTTGGAGGCTGGAGGAACCAGAGCAGGCTATGAGGCCCTGCAGGGCAGAGCCTTTGAGAGGTGGGTGGGGAGGTACCCAGAGATGGGATGAATGCCTGGAATCCAGTCACAACCGGGGACGTCCAGGGTACCTGGTGCTGTGCCCGGTGCACAGTTAGCGCTTGGCTCTGGAGCTCTAGGGTGTCATCCTGGCGTGGCTGCTGGGACTGCCGCCCTCTGGGCTGGCTCCCTCAGTGCCCCAAGACACCCCCCTATGCCTGCTCAACACTCAGGGGTCCCTCCAGGGCATCTTATCTCACCGCCTGCTCTTACGCACAGGGAAATTGAGGCCCAGAGAGGGAGGGAGGCCTGTCCAAAGTCACACAGCAAAGGGGGCATGCAGACCCTGGCCGGAACCATGCCTGGCTTGCAGCCTCCCAGTATCCTTCTGTTAAACTCAGCCTCGTGGACTGTGGGAAGGGGCACCCCCAGAACACTGCCTCATCATGGGCTCTGGCAGGGCTGTGGCCCTGGCCACGGCTGGCACATGGTGGTGAGACCCAGCGTGGGCTGGTGCTGCTGCGGGGACCCGTATGGAGGAAGCTGCAACCTTGAGCCCCATGGAGCCAAGGGAGGGTCCCTGCAGGGAATGGTGGGGGATGGTGGTGCTGGGCTCATTAGTGAGAAGGCAGAGGGAAAGTCCCAGGCTCCAAAGACCCAGTCGGGGAGGGATTGCTGGTGGAGGAGGTCTGGTCACAAGCCTCCCAGGCTCTCCCAGGATTCACACTGGCTCTGCCTAGCCTTGCCATGTGTCCAGGAGCCTGGGGTGAGGTCT